TTTGAACCTTGTTAGACACAAAACAAGCAGGATTCCTGGCCTGAGCTATAAAATATAATTAAGCCCTTTTGAAATGATGTGTAAAAGAACATAGCTTTACCCCTACTATAACTACTACCACCACCACAACCAATAAAGTTAAATCAACCACTGCCTGTAATGGATTAAAATAATAAATGTTCCTGGATTTTAGTGTTTGAAGTATTTGAAGAAAACAGGCTCCCAGCAGCCAGTCCTGCTGAATGCATGGGGACATTTATTAGTGATGAATTCAAGGGTTTGGCCTGTTTAAGATCATTACTTTCTGTTTACCGTGTGCTACACATCTCATGTTTTTACAGAGCCCATATGTGTCCCAATGTAATGCTGAAAAACTCTCTTTCACTAAAGAATAGCTAATTGGTACCATGTAAGTATTGTTCTCTTGGGGAGAATGAACCATCATAAGATTCAGCTCGATACTAATGAGAAATCCAGTGCGGTCAGTGGATTGTTAACTAAATCTCTCCTGGAAAATTGTTCTTTGCTACGTTTTGCCATTTGTTTGCTACTGCTGTTTCCAGACTTGAGTAAATTGGCTGGCTCTTAAATTGACTGCAGTATTTCCCGTGTAATTATTTTCACAGCTTTGTTACCCTTTCTTCTCAGAAGATGGTTTGTCAAGGATACTTGTCAACAGAGTGTTGTAACTATAGTATAACTACCCTGTATGTGATGTATCTACAGTTTTCCTGAGAGGGAAGAATTGTGTAGGTAGTTGCACCAATATATTAGATATAATGGCATATTTATATTTTAATAGCTGTCTTAATGTCAATGACAATCTGAAAGTAGCTACTGAAGTTACAGATGTGAAGAGTGAATGTTCAGAACCAAATATCTTAGACTATCACTTTAGTAGCAAGATTTCATCCCTGCCCCTCAGGCATGGAGGACCCATGGGGGAGCCTGGAGTTCTTCCTTCAGAGGGCACCAGGATCCCTTGGGTGGGAATACATCAACAGGCTGCTGCTGGCAGTGAGACCACATCGCTCACATGCCTCTGAACCAGCACGGCTGCATCTGTACTCTGGGACACGCTCTGGCTTCTGAGCTGCCCCAAACTCAGAAAAGCAATTTTCTTCATACTGCTGTTGTTTGTAGCAAAGCTACTGGCTTTTCAAAAGAGAGCTAAGTGCCAGTTCAGTGCCGTTTGCTACCTTTGTTAAAATACATGTGTTTTCATTTTCTTAATTCTCTTGTCCCCTATTGAAGTTTGCCAATTAAAAGCATGCTCTGTGTTGCATTAGGTGACAGTGCAATGAACCAAACAGCATTTGCAGCTAAGGAAGAGCAAATGCACAGGGAATAATAGAAGGAAAAAAGCTCCTTCTATATTTCTACTCATTTCATTTGGAGTTGATTCAAATGTCAACACTGAAATGTTTTTGAAAACAGAAACTCCATGGTTTATGTCAAAACATTGTCTTTCCCTTTGTTAACCAGGAAGAACAAACAGAGCTCTTTTTTAATACCTGTATTGCTTAAACTCTAAGTGATTGTTACTGTAAGGCAGGGATTGTTTTTATATATTTGCTGCATCTATTAAAATGTACCAGCTCTTTCTTTTTCTAGTCACACAAAAGGATTTATGGATACACAACATTTTAACAAGGATGAAGACTCCTATTATTGACAAATGCTAATGCAACTCTACTATAATTATATATAAACCCTAATCTAACTATGTGTAAAATTGTATTAGGGTACTCAGATTCTGTGAGATGTCTTTCTAAATCTTAGCATAAATCAAGTATGTACTGACTAAAAAAGATGCTAGAATATCAAAATAAATATCTTTAGGTAAATTTTTTTCACTGTTCTGTTGTAATGACCTCCACCTTTAATTTTGGAGCAAGGTAATTTTTGAACGTGACAAGCTAGCTATTTTTAAATCCTCCTATGTTGTTTCCAACCATATAAAATACCTGGCTATTCCTTTTGAGCGTATGTCATCATAATGGTAATTCTTGCAATAGCACACAGAAGCCTGGTCTAAGTTCTCTTTTGCTCCATTAGTGTAGATGTGTTTTGTGGTGCTATTGTGTTTCTGGCTGGAATCTGACAGGGGAGGGCTGGCAGCATTTTTTAAATGCTGTCCAAAGCAAGTGCTTCATATTTATTAGTCTCTTGGAGGAGTATTTTAAAAGTCATGAAACGGTTTGTTCCTAAAAGTAAATTATTGCACGTACTGAAAAGTGCAGTGGTGTTCATGAGCCATAATCCAAACAGCACAAGTTAACTTCTACATGTCACAGCAGTTATTTATGAAGATATATTGCTTCTTTGTGCTGCCATCTCAAGTTCACTTCAAATGGAGACTTTGATTTAATCTATTGAAACTGAAGGCAGACTTCCACAATAGAGGTTTGTGAGAGATGCATTGAAGGACTGGCTGAAAATAGTGTGTGGGATGGCAAAAACAAGGGAAAATTATTTTGCATCTTTGCTTTTCTGAGGTGATTGCATTAGTCATGGGAAAGCACTTCATGGACTGAACATATACTTTTAGGATTTCCATGGAAATAGTACCCTACTGGAACTTCTCTCAGACTTACTACTGCTTTTTAAGGTTTCTGCATGCTTGTTCTTCATTTGTTTTCTTTAAGCTTCTTCAAAACATCACTTCATGCAAGTTCGTGTAAATGCTCTCAGCATTGCAGTTTTTCTAACAGTGAACAGTGGTTTTTAATACTAAATCACTTCATCCTTGAAAGGACATGTAGGTACAACTGCTCGAAGGGACAAGGGTGTGAGTCTTGTCTACACAAGAGCACTCTGGGTCACAGAAAGCAAAATAAAATTCTCTTACTGAGTTCCTGAGCTTTTCCTGGTATTTGTAGGACACAATCCATGGATGTGTCTTGTAATATTTCATGTATTGAAAACTAACCAAAACTTCCTCATTCTTAATTGTTTCTTCATTTCTCATTGTTTGCTTAGCATTTGAGAAAGGCACTGGTGATTTTGAACCAGCAGTATTATGTGCTGAATGCTCAGTTCTACTTCTAAGCTGTTGGATGTTATGTTTTCTTTGTACTTTGTGGAGCTGAGATGACAACACAAAGAGACTGGAAAGCATAATCCTTCCAAGTGTAATCCCAGTGAAAGAAAACATAAATAAAACCACTTGTATTCTGACATTCCTTTTCCCCTTCTGTTATTTCTGCAGCTTGGCATATATTCCAGTAAAACTATAGGAAGAAATTTCTCTATATTGAAGAATTGTGCAATAGTTACCAAGAATTTCTTTCCTTTAAAATCAAAATTCCATATAGAATGTGGGGGAAAAAAAGTATTTCCAAGTATTCTTAAAATAACTAACCATAGAAGGGTATCAGTGTGTGTTGATGTTCATTTTCTTGATTCATTTTTTTGACACTGAAATTCAGTGTCAAAAACGACGTTGAATGGATCTGTCCCATAAGCCTGTTACCCAGGAGAGCAGAAGCCAGCCTAAATAAAAAACCCCAAAGCTGGAATTCCTTTTTCAGTCAGTGACAACAGTCCTGTTGACTGGCATGGGACAATGATTTGAGTCCTTGATCATTCTTACTAAACTCCAGCTGCTCAAGGAGAGGTGGTTTAAGTTTGTGGTTCCTACTCAGGTTGGACACAATTCAATGCCATTATTGCTGTGGGCATTGTTGAACCGCCTTCCTAGTGTTTGCTGGTTAAAAAAAAAATGCAAACTTCCATTACAAAAAATAGTGCTTAGTGCTATGAAACTGTAAGCCCCAGGATACAGGCTTCTTCCTTGGATACTAGGAGAGATTCATGGGTGAAGTTTTAATGCATGGATTCAAAACAGTGAGTTGTGTTTTGGGGGGATTTTTCTACCAGCAAAGTTATAAAAATATAAAATGAAACCGTACCTTGAAACACCTGTGTATAAGCCTTAGGTGGTTTTTTTAATCTTTTGCCTTTTGTAAATTTCTAGTTTCATTAGAAAAATAAGCTGTGTGCATTATAAAGTAGGGTGACATCCAACATTCAGGGTGTTGAGTCCAAGTATTAGCACGAAAGGAGATAAAAGTTAAGCCAACCTCAGATGTACTACTTTCCATGTAAATATACAAAAGAAATAGCGATATTAGGCATGGTTTATTTTATTAAACAGTGATTTGCAGTAAGTTAAATTCGCAAGAGCCGGGATATTTCTAGATGATGTCTCTATCCTCAAAATGTTTGTCTTTAATGAGAGTATGTAAGTTCTGTCATAAATGTAATCTGCCATTATAATTTTTTTTTTGTTTTATGAAGCTATATAAAGTTCAAAAGGTTATGATATGAAAACTTTAAATTCTTTTCTCAGGAAATGTGCATTATGTACCTTGAGATAAGCATTTGTTTTGAATTATTTGAATTCAAACAGTACCCTTCTTCTCCTGCTAAGTACTCCTAAGTCTAGCAAGGTGCCATGTTATAGTAATTAACCTGACAAAAGCAGAGAGAACTGTTCAAAATCTCTATTTCCTATCAGTTTGAAATATAATCAAGTGAAGCAGCTGTTCTTGTTCTTAATAAACTTTTTTTAAAAAAAAAATTCATAGTTTAATGAAAAATGTCTCTTCTTATAAACCTTAAAGTACTCAGAACACAAAAAGTCATGTTTTGGCAAATGGCTCTTGGTAAGGAATGTGGATGACACATACCTGCTGTGTTACAGCAGCATGGTATAAAGCCTGGTTGATAGTGTGGTAAGGGAAAGCTAAATTAAAAAAAACAGGAAATTAAAAAAAAAATACAGATCTCATTGCCCAGCTGTGATGTCCTTCCTTGGACTTGAGAGTGATTGTCCATACACGTATTTCCATGAAAGTCGGTGGGACTACTTGTGTGAGTAATGGCTTGTGGGCAGAGATCCCCAGGCTCATGGTAAAGTGAATTCAGGAAATAAGCACAAAAATGTTGGGAGAATAACTGCCAATGGGATTAAATTTTTTTCTCTCTGCTTTTAGGAATCCATGGATCATCTTTAGTCCTTGACATAAAAGATTTCTTACTTAAAACAAGTCTGAAAGAAAGAGCAAAATCTCTGGTTGGCCCTTTTTGCTGCTCCCTTAACGTGGAAGCCAAGTGGTGCAAGCACAGTGGTGATCCTGGCCCAGAGCAATCTGTTCCAAAAATCTACATTGATTTGAGAGGAGGACTGCTGCAGGTCTGTATAAGATACTTATGGTTGTGCTGTTGAGCTGGACTGGCTTTGGATGATTGAGTTTTCAAAAATAAATTTCATTAAAGCCTTCGCATCCTACAACCGGTCGCTAGAGTGGGGATTTTTTGCATGTTTTATTTGGGTGGTTTTTATTTTACCTTACAAAATAAGTATCTACTCTTTCATGTAAACTGTTGATTAAAAAATTGTGTACTGTGTTTTGGGGTTGATTTATTTTTTTAAAAAATACTGCTTAAACCCTGTATTTTAGCTATATGTGCATGTTCCTTAAAACTACTGGATCAAATTGCTAACACTTAATATCTAGGGTCCTGTTCTGATGGGTGTGTGTCTGTCTGTCCATGATCTACGTGTCTCTAATGCCTAGGGGTAGCCCTAAGAAGTACATATCCTTTCTTTTTAAACTTACACAAATTTCTCAGGGGAGTAATTGCAAACTGTTGTTTGTAACAATTAATACTCAGTTTTCCGTGCTATCCTCTCCTTTTTGGAAGTGCCCACAACTTGAAATCAGTCCAGGAAGCTTGGGAGCTCTTGAAATGAAAAATAGATTCTGTGGGGCTTAAACAAGTAGGCTTTAAGATATGTCTTGTTTTGATTATTTTTATTATAGTATCTATACATACCAAATGTTTTTAAATAAATGCATAAATCAATTATATAAAACGCGAAAAGGAAATTTTGACATTTGATTGTGTCAGTAAGTTTTTTCCCAGAATTGGAATTAGAAGGTCTTAGGAGTGCAGCACTGGAAATAGGGTTAATCAGATAATACAAATTTATAAAACAGTTTATCTTAATGAATAAAGTGAGTTTTTTTCTTTGCTTCTTTTTTTATTTGTTTTTCACAGGTACTTGGTACAGGTGCTTTTTATTTGTTTTTCACAGGTACTAGTACACAGGTACTACCTAAATGTGTTGGTAATAAAGTGCTGGGGATTTTTTTTCCAAAATTTTGGAGTTTGAGAAGTACCAAAAAAAAATCTATAATTCTCAGAAAGCCATTTATTATTAGAGTATAATTAGGGACAATTAGCTTTTGCAGAAGATAATTAAGTGTTTGGTCTGGCAGAATAGATTAGAGAATGATGACAAAATCATTAGCAGTTCTGTTTGAAATTAATTTATTTATGGCTAATGATTTTACCAGCTCTAAACATGACCTCACCTATCACTGTTAATTTGGATTGCATCAGAACCTTGAGAGCTTATGTAAAATCAGTTCCTCATCTCTGAATGTTGTAGTAGGGGTTCCATGTCCTGGAGTTCCCAGCTGCCTACAGATGAAATGATTATAAGTGTGAGATGGATAAAAACATTCACCCCTCCTCTGTCAGTGGGGAACTGGGGCCTCTGGGGTTGGCTTAAGGTGACAGAGAGCTCCTTTGAGGTGGTGCTAGAATAGGTGTGAGACCCCCAGACCAGAGGTACTCCAGAAACCACAGTGGAGATGCACAAAATTCCGGGGATACCTGCCTAGCCTGGGAATGTTTGGCTCAGGACGGGCTGTGGCTGTGTTTCAAGAGGGTCTTGGTGTATTCTGTGGGCTTGCTTGTAGATGCAGGGCAAGAAAAAACCTACCTTCTTAGCAACTACACTCTCTTTAGGCATCTTTTGATTTTTTTCACATTTGAAATTTGGTATTCCCCCATTGAAAAGTTTGTACTACTAGTTCATACGTGACTTGTTTACTTTACTTTACTCACAACCTTATCATGACTTTTAAGTTACAGTCTGGGCATTTTGATTTCAGTCCACACTGGTTCCTCGTCTAATTTCTGTGTTGCTAATTGCTTCTTTGTCTTCCATGTTGCTTCAAGGCCTGCTTCTGCACATGAAGTCTGAAGTACTTGTTCCAATTCATGTAATTCTCTCAAACAGAAGCTTGATTTGAAAAAAGCAGCAATGCCTGTCCAAGATGGGAGAAGGGAATGCCTTCTTGCCTTTTATTTTGCTGCAAAGTGTGCAAATCTTCTGGACTTTACATTTTGTACCTAAGATGATCTTTCATATATCTTTTGCATCACATTCTTTGCTGTGTCACTTAATTTTAAATGTATTCCAGAGTTCCAGTTTTGGAGCAACAAGCTCTTTGAAGAGTTTAAACCTTGTATCTTTAAGGGATTTTTGTCATGTCTTAAACTGAGAAACCTGTGACCAGTCCTAGCATTATGTACAGTTCTTGAATATAACATTCCAGGTCTGTGGTCTTCCAGGCAGCATCACTATTAATTATGAAATTATAGGAATTGATGTTTTCCTTCAGATAATGAAAAGAACACATTTGACAAATGGCTTTGTAAGGATATTTTGTTGCTTCTGTCCTTTATTGTAAAGTTAAGAATGTTTGCAAGCAATTAAAATGTAAGTAGAGCAGACTCAAAGCCATATAAAGTTCTTGTTGTTTTAGGGAGTTGTTTTTCCCTTCAAAAATGGCTGAATATTTGTATGTAATTTTTTCATCTTTTTTCTCTCTCTCTCTCTCTCTCTTTTTTTCATTTTAAAGGTTTTCTGGGGTCAAGAGCATTTGAACTGTTTAGTTCTTCTCCAGGAGCTTCTGTGGCAGTACCTGAGTAAAAAGGGCAGTGTAGAGACGGTGATAGCTGAACGTACACACCCAACGTGTTTCTCTACAGAAAGGAATCCAGCCTCAAAACCTGAGCATACCTCAGATGATCTGAGAACAGGCCTCTTCCAGTATATACAAGATGCAGGTAAGAAGGATATAATTTTGGCTCTCTTTTTTTCTTCCTTTTTTTCCTAGATTATAAAGTAAAAATAGTAGTAACCTATTAGACATTACTTGCCTCTTACAATGAATAACTTTATATCTTTTGGAAAAGCAGTTGAAAAGACATCTGCTAGAATTAAAAAAAAATACTTTAAAAGACTTTTTTGATTTCTTTCCATTAAGCTGTAGTGTTTTAAAAGTCAGGGAAATTGCTTTTTTATTTTCTCTCCTTTTGATCCCAAGGGATTTCTTTTTAATCACTTTGGTTTCATAAACCAGCATGTTTCTTTCTAGAAATTGCATAACGGATTATAACTTTCTTTCATTTGACAGAAGCACAAAAGCTGCCCAATGCCTATGAAGTTGTGTTTTACAATGAAACTGAGGATAGTCCAGGAATGATGCTGTGGAGATATCCAGAACCTCGAGTGCTCACTCTTGTAAAAATTAACCCTGTTCCTTTTAATACCACTGAAGACCCAGATATTAGCACTGCTGACCTTGGAGATGTTCTTCAGGTGGGTAATGAGTTTTCTACTTTCAGTAACAAATGGAAATGTTACTGCTGTAAAGTAAAAGTTTTCAAACTCCGATTTATTAAAAACGAGCAAAAAACAAATGTCAGGAGCTCTATAAAACCAATATGAGGTACATTGCACAGCTTGAGCATATCTTTAGTTTCAAAACTACTTGTATAAACCTTTTACCCTCTTACCTCTGCAGTTTTTATGTTGCATAATAAGCTATAGCCAAGTTTAGCAGGTTTAGTTTGTGAGCATACAATTTTTATTCTTTCTTTTTATGGTTTCATCCATCAGTCTTTGCATAAAGGCTTCATTTGGTTTAAAACTGAAACACGTGAGGAAAGACCTGGTCTGAAATTTCCAAGATCTAGTGGAATCATTGAAGTAAAAGCTCCAATCTGGTTGTTCTCTCCTGTTTCTGTGGTGGCAGATGGCTGCATTGGTCCTAGTAAGATCCATAGGGTAGGGGGAAATGGTCTGTTTTCTCTCATTTTTCCTTGAGAGGGTTGAAGTGGATGGTGCAGTTTGACTGTGGGATATCATGGAACTTCTCTTTGAAGGAGGCTGAGTGCTGCAGTCTCCATGCCCCAAAAGTAGACCATACCTCAAAATTACACTGATCCTTCATGTGCTGGAATTTTTGCTTTCTAATGTATGCAATTGGGTCATTACATTTTCTCCTGTCTAGTGTAATTTTCTTTAAATGCACTTATTCCTTGCATACATATTTTGATTTTAACTCAATTTTAATTCTCGTAATCTCTGTTTCCCTTTTATATTACAAATTGGACCTGTCATTTTTTTTTTAATTTCAGTCTGTTTGTTAATCAGAATAGTGTTGTGAGTCAAGGGAAATAAATATTTCCCAGTTCTTCCTATTTGTTCAAAACTGTTGAATTATATTTCATTATTGCTGTGATGTTAAAAATTGCTTTTCAAATTGAATTATTCACCAATATGCTTTGAGTTATGAATAAGTAGGATAATCTTCCTCAGATAAATGATTTAATGTTATTACCGTGCACATACTGTTGGTGAGATCATGTAAGTGTCCTGCCAATTTCTTTGCCCTCTAGACAGCCAAATGTCAGCTCCTTTCAGTTACATGAAAATTAAAATTAAATGGAAAAAAATCAGCTCCACTTGGCATGAGGTTTGAATAAAAGATCAAAATTGTGTTATTGTAGGCTGTCTTGATGACCTATTAGGTTGCTATGAAAGCCACCATTTTGCCTCCTTTCAGGCTGGTATTTTTGGAGCACGGCACACCAAGGTTTTGGTTTCATTACATTACATTCCCATTACAGATAACAGACATCTTGAACCATTATGTATGTGCTTGTGGAACAATATGACCCTGTCCAAGGGGAATATCAGCCCTTCTTCAAGGGGCATACACAGCTGGGCTTTTAGTAGCACACAGCTTCTGCTTTGTGCTTCTGTACCACGGTCTAGAGAAGAGAAGATCCAACCCACTTTGGTTGCCTCAGAGAGTGAGAAGCATCCAGCTACCAGGGGTCAGCCTCTGCTGGTGTTCATGTCATTCTTCAGATTTCTACCACCAGAGAAAATATAGATATCAGCCAAGTTAGAGGACATCCAGTCAAAAATTCTGCTTTGGGCACATGATGTGCAGAAATGCTTTGGTTGTAGACCATTAATTATGGTAGTAATTGTTGCCTGGCTCGAGGTGGTGATTTATCACATTTTCCAGAAATGGCCATACACCTGATGAACCATTTTAAACAGTCATTTTAAACATGGGCAGTGTGTTTTTTTTAATTAATCTAACAGACGTATGTGGGTAGAATAAGTAATACAGAGAAAATTTTTGATTTCTTTAGGTAAAGTGCATTTACGCAATACTCATATCAAACTTCAGATTCTAATTTAAGTTAATCATGAGGCCTTTCATCAGCTCCACTTTTTCCCTGTGTGGATACATGTTAATTAATATACTGGGATTTAGTGCATACAGAAAATTCATTAAATACAAAGAGAAAAAAGATAAAACAGTATTTATCTTATTCCATTTTTGAAATGAAACATTAGAGAAACATCTGCAATCCAAAGACTTCAGCTTTTTTGAAAAAAAAAAAAAAAAAGATCTAAATTTAAACACAATAATGATACTAAGCTATATTAAAATATACTTTAAGAACTTTCCCAGGATTGTGGATGTGTTCAAATGCAAGGAGGACCCATAATGTCCCCAGCTGTGTTACCAGTCTCCCTTAATCCTCTGCTTCACAAAGATACAGTCAAAGGTGCCCTTCTGCAGTTTGTCTTGAATTTTTGAGGTTTTTTTCTTGAAGTTTTCCAGTTGCATGTTCTTTCTTTCTGAGTAAGTTGCTATGACATTTCATCTAGTTTTCTGTCTTTGTTAAACTTCTAGCATAACGTTTTAATCATGGGTAGGTTTTAGAACTCTCTGTTTTTATAGCTATTATTCAAATTCCTGGAACTTGCAAAAGCTTCACCATAAAGAGAATTTTTCTAAATATTGAAGGTGCGTGTTATCTGGTGCAGCCAAAGGATAGAGAACAGCTTCAGATTATGAGTTGATATGAGCTATATTGTTTCTGTTGAACCCTGCCTTGCTGCTATTTCTAAATTGCCCCAAAGAGCTGTTTTCTTGTGCTTACCTTGTGTTGTTGCAAAGGGAAGCAGTTTCACAGGTCAAGTTTGTAATACTTTGTTTTTACAGTCCAAACATTGTTGCTTTTATTTGTGGGGGAACAGGAAGAACTGATGTCTCTGCCATGGTATACCACCTGTCATTTCTTTAGAAGGTTGAAATAGAGCTTGGATCTAATAGTTTGAAGGAAGTGAGAATCCTCGATCCGATTGCAAGAAATTGCAGCAGGATTATATTTCTTTGAGCAGGTGGAAAGTATCTTAATTTGTTGTTTTCCCTGTTTAACAGACGTGGCAAACTCTATATCATCTTTAAGCCCTTATTGTCCCATTTTCCCATGTTGTAAATGTCCTTTGGCTCTGTGTGATTTACCATTCTTTCAGATAACTAGTATTTGAGGAAACACCTTTCAAAGGTAAAGAATGGTATTGACATGAGAATCATATGCCCACCTCAGTTCTAGAGGGTAGTCCAAACTTGGAAAATGTTCACAAAAATTTTTCAAAAGGTAAAAGCAAGATGAAGTAGCAATTCCATTATTTTTAAAATACTGAAGATTTATATATTGATAAGTTAAAAAAAGGGATGCTTTCTGAGACTTTTTCCATTATAACAGATGAAACTTAAATAATTCAAGTAGATTGCTGGTAAGAGGAAATCTTGTGGTTAAAGATGAGCAACTTCAAAAGTCTGTGCTTAAAGAAATACTTGTATGTCTTTTGTTTATGTACACAAAACCAGAGAGAAAAAAAAACTACTGATCTTGCTCCAAAAATTTAGTTATGCTACATTTGGGTCACTCTCATGTGCAGATAATTTCTGTAACAAAAACTGTGCAGGTGTTTATAAATTTGTCTCAGCGAGTAATCACATGTGAAGACTTAAGGCCTGCCACAGTTTCCCAGTTTAACATTGAACTATATTCTATAAGGCAACCAGCTCATCATTACGGGGAAAAGGTCTTCTAATTGCCCTGTGATGGTCTTGTGGTGTGCCAGTTAGGTTGGAATCTGTGGGCAGTGATGATTCTCATTCCTATGAAATCTGACCATGAAATGTCTTTCACCCAGAACTTTGAAGCCTGGTAATAGCCTTCAAGCAGATTTTGGTTTAGAATGTATGTTGAAATGTCTCCTGCAGAGATACCAGAATTATAGAAGATACATGAGCATCTTTAGGAACAAGAATGGGCTGGGCAGTCTCAATTTCAGAGTAAGGGCTTCATAGTGTCTCTCTTCATCTCCTAAATAATGAGGGCATTGGCTTGATATGGCTACTAGGCCAGTTGAAAGAGAATTTGTGGCAATTTCCTCCATTCTGATTGTTCTGGTTGCCTTGAAAGTATGCCATTGGAATGACAGGAGTAAGAGTAATTTCTGGTTTCAGACAATAGTTTATTATTATGCAGATAATTCCACTGTCCCAGAACATAAAGAATAATTGAATATATTCTACATCATAACAAAAACCTGTATTTCAGAGCTGTTGTGTGATGCTAAATTTAGCTGTGCTTCTACAGTTACTTGGATCTGTCAGGTCCATATCTGAGAAAGGACAAGTCATCTTCGTTTCTGTGATATTTTTAAAATTCAAAAGAGGGAAAGCAGAGAAAAAAAGTAGAGAAAAATCTGTTACTGATTCAGTAGTGACTTTCACATTGTGCAGATACAATATGAAGCTAGCTACATGTAGATATTTAACCTCAAAGAAATTTCTGTTGAATATTTGTGCTCTGGGGCTTAGAACTGTAATTGCACTGTGTGTCTAGTTTCCCCAAAGTCTTCCTGTGTCTTCCTGCAGTCTTAAGAATCTCAGATTTATGTTTATCTTTGCCTGTGATGTTGTTATACTTTTCTGATGTAATCTGGCTTATGTTTTTATATCATTTATCTTTACCAAGAGCAAGGTTGACAGGTTTAGGTTGGCAGAGGAGAGAGTAAAAATTGGGTGGGGCTCACCAAGGTAGGAAACAGTTCATATGCCATCAGGGAAATACTCTGCTTTTCTGTACAGACAGGTGAACAGGACACACAAATTATCTCCTGTACAGCTGGAGGCTTGTTTTTATCTAGTGAACCTTTTACAGAAATTCTCATTTATTGTCATTCCATTGTAGAGTTACCTTTCCAATGAGGGATGTTGCTGGCACTGCCCCATATCTCAAACAAAAGCTATGTCTTGTCACAAGAGCATTTACCCAAGTGACATGGATTTAAAAGCAGGAGAAAACCAGATTTATCTAATCAAAGTAATCGTACAATGTGTAGTGTTCCAAATTCCGAGTTATCTGATTTAGCTAAGATGCATCACTAACACAGACTTAAAATTCTTTCTCCTGGATTGTCATCCAGTGGGA